TGGCCTGCACCCAAAGTAGGTTATATATATAATGTAGGTTACAGATTAGTGTGGGGAGGCCCCCCCCCCAAACAAAAAAAAATTGGATACAGAATAATGTAAAAAAACCAAGGTACCGGGCACGCAATACGGTGAAATCAAAAAAATGATAGATTTAAATTGATTTCAATTTACTTTCAATAAATTTCAAGTTATTTTGAATTGATTTGAAGTTACTTTGAATTGATTTCAATTTACTTTCAATTGATTTCAATTTATTTTGAATTGATTTCAATTTACTTTCAATTGATTTCAATTTATTTTGAATTGATTTCAATTCACTTTCAATTGATTTCAATTTATTTTGAATTGATTTCAATTTACTTTCAATTGATTTGAATTGATTTCAATTTATTTTGAATTGATTTCAATTTACTTTCAATTGATTTGAAGTTACTTTGAATTGGTTTCAATTTACTTTCAATTGATTTCAATTTATTTTGAATTGACTTCAATTTACTTTCAATTGATTTGAATTAGATTTAAATTGATTTCAATTTACTTTCAATTGATTTCAATTTACTTTCAATTGATTTGAAGTTACTTTCAATTGATTTGAATTTACTTTCAATTGGTTTCATTTTACTGCCAATTTACTTTCAATCGACATCCCATAGAAATCCAATAGTAGTCCCAAAGAAATATCATAGAAATACCATGGAAATCCCATAGGAATCTCACAGAAATACCATAGAAATATCATAGAAATAACATGGAATAGCATAGGAACCACAAAAGAAATCCCATGAAAATTCCAATAATAATCCCATAGAAATATCATAGAAACATCATGGAAATACCTTGGAAATCCTACAGGAATCCAATAGAAATTCCATAGGAATCCAATAGAAATACCATAGAAATCCCATAGGAATCCAATGGAAATCCCATAAGAATACCATAGAACTCCCATAGCACCCCTTCAGAAATCCCATAGAAATCCTCCAGAAATATCATAGAAACATCAGGGAAACCCCATAGGAATTCCATAGAAATCCAATAGTAATACCATAGAAATACCATAAAAGAAAAAAGCTTTAGCAAAGGAAAAGGTAAAGGGAATGCTTGAAAAAAAACATCACCAGGAAGCATCTGGACACAATAGTGTACCCTCGAAACAAACCACACTATTGCGCATCAGGGTTGCTAATGGACTACCCCCTTGAAAAATTGTTTGAGTGATGTTTTTTAATTGGGTTTTAATACGGCATCATATATTTTGGGAAACTGGGCATTTCTGAGAATATCAAATGAAAGAAACTAAGAAGTAATTAATTAATTAAAAGGAAAAAACTTTAGCAAAGGAAAAGGTAAAGGAAATGATTGCAAAAAAAAACAAAATCACTTCAGGAAGCAGCTGAACACAATAGTGTACCCTCGAAACAAACCACACTATTGTGTATCAGGGCTGCTCATGGACTACCCCTTGAAAAATTGTTTGAGTGATGTTTTTTAATTGGGTTTTAATAAGGCATCATATATTTTGGGAAACTGGGCATTTCTGAGAATATCAAATGAAAGAAACTAAGAAAGAAATTAATTAAAAGAAAAAAACTTTAGCAAAGGAAAAGGTAAAGGAAATGATTGCAAAAAAAAACAAAATCACCTCAGGAAGCAGCTGGACACAATAGTGCACCCTCCAAACAAACCAAACTATTGTGTATCAGGGTTGCTCATGGACTACCCCCTTGAAAAATTGTTTGAGTGATGTTTTTTAATTGGGTTTTAATAAGGCATCATATATTTTGGGAAACCGGGCATTTCTGAGAATTTCAAATGAAAGAAACTGAGAAAGTAATTAATTAAAAGAAAAAAACTTTAGCAAAGGAAAAGGTAAAGGAAATGATTGAAAAAAAAACAAAAAATCATGATCTCAGGAAAGCAGCTGGACACAATAGTGTACCCTCCAAACAAACCACACTATTATGTATCAGGGTTGCTCATGGACTACCCCCTTGAAAAATTGTTTGAGTGATGTTTTTTAATTGGGTTTTCATAAGGCATCATATATTTTGGGAAACTGGGCATTTCTGAGAATATCAAATGAAGAAACTAAGAAAGTAATTAATTAAAAGAAAAAACTTTAGCAAAGGAAAAGGTAAAGGAAATGATTGCAAAAAAAAACAAAATCACTTCAGGAAGCAGCTGGACACAATAGTGTACCCTCCAAACAAACCACACTATTATGTATCAGGGTTGCTCATGGACTACCCCCTTGAAAAATTGTTTGAGTGATGTTTTTTAATTGGGTTTTAATAAGGCATCATATATTTTGGAAAACTGGGCATTTCTGAGAATTTCAAATGAACGAAACTAAGAAAGTAATTAATTAAAAGAAAAAACTAAAAAAAATAAAAATAATTAAATTAAAACTTGTTTTAATTAAAAATAAAAATAAAAAATAATTTAAAATAAATAAAAAATAATTAAAAATCAAAATTATTATAATTAAAAATAAAAATAAAAACAATTAAAAACTAAAAAACAAAAAATGCAAAAAACTTACACCAAAATCCTCTGGACACAAAACTGTACCCCTCGATCATTTCCAAAGTTACAAAATAACTTTGGAGTCTGTGGACACAATTCTGTATCCCCACACTAATCTGTATCCCACATTATATAAATATATATATATATATTTGATTATTTCCCTAAGAAATCATCCTGAACTCCCCATTAAACACCATTAAATCACCACTAACTAATTATTTAATCTTGTTGGTGGTTAAAAAAACATCTTGAAAAATATGAAAGTCAATGGGAAGGATGACATCCCATATATTATGGAAAAAATGTTCCAAACCGCCAACCAGATTTTTTTCTCATTACAATATATCCCCATGAAATCCCATGAATCCACCATTTTTGACAATGCTTCCCCAGTTCCGGCTGATGTTCCATGGCCATTCCAAGCCATTCCTGGCTATTGTTTAGTAACTCGCTTATATAGCTGGGTATATCCTCATTCAATCACTATGAAATCATCACTTTCCATGGCCATGATTCCCATCAGAAAAAAAGATGGGAATGGGATTTCATTTTCCCTAATGTTTTGCATAGAATATCCATGTGTTCCTAATGTTAACATGGACAGGTTCCCTAATGTTTTCCTGGTACCCTCTGGTAATGACTAACATAGCTATTGAACATGGCCATAGAAATAGTGAGTTGTCCCATAAAAAATTGTGATTTTCCAGTTCGCAAACTTTAATAACGTTTACCAGAGGGTAAAACATGGTAAAACCACCATTTTCCTCTGGTTTTCGTATGATTTTCCCATAAACCCACCATTTTCCATCTGGTATCCCACTGGTAATGACTAACATAGCTATTGAAAATTGCAGTTTTCCCATTCAAAATGGTGATTTTCCCATCCGTTTTTTGTTGGTTTGCCAGAGGGTAAGCCATTCCAAGCCAGTCCACCATTTTCCCATGGTTTTCCCATAAAACCACCATTTTCCATCTGGTATCCCACTGGTAATGACTAACATAGCTATTGAACATGGCAGTTTCCCCATTCAAAATTGTGATTTTCCCATCCGTTTTTTGTTGGTTTGCCAAAGGTAAGCCATTCCAAGCCAGTCTTCCATTTTCCTATGGTTTTCCCATAAAACCACCATTTTCCATATGGTATCCCACTGGTAATGACTAACATAGCTATTGAACATGGCAGTTTTCCCATTCAAAATTGTGATTTTCCAATCCGTTTTTTTGTTGGTTTGCCAGATGGTAAGCCATTCCAAGCCAGCCCACGATTTTCCTATGGTTTTCCCATAAAACCACCATTTTCCATATGGTATCCCATTGGTAATGACTAACATAGCTATTGAAAATTGCAATTTTCCTATTCAAAATGGTGATTTTCCCATCCGTTTTTTGCTGGTTTGCCAGGGGGTAAGCCATTCCAAGCCAGCCCACCATTTTCCTATGGTTTTCCCATAAAACCACCATTTTCCATATGGTATCCCACTGGTAATGACTAACATAGCTATTGAACATGGCAGTTTTCCCATTCAAAATTGTGATTTTCCAATCCGTTTTTTTGTTGGTTTGCCAGATGGTAAGCCATTCCAAGCCAGCCCACGATTTTCCTATGGTTTTCCCATAAAACCACCATTTTCCATATGGTATCCCATTGGTAATGACTAACATAGCTATTGAAAATTGCAATTTTCCTATTCAAAATGGTGATTTTCCCATCCGTTTTTTGCTGGTTTGCCAGGGGGTAAGCCATTCCAAGCCAGCCCACCATTTTCCTATGGTTTTCCCATAAAACCACCATTTTCCATATGGTATCCCACTGGTAATGACTAACATAGCTATTGAAAATTGACAGTTTTCCTATTCAAAATTGTGATTTTCCCATCCGTTTTTTGTTGGTTTGCCAGAGGGTAAGCAATTCCAAGCCAGCCCAACATTTTCCTATGGTTTTCCCATAAAACCACCATTTTCCATAATGACTAACATAGCTATTGAAAATTGCAGTTTCCCAATTCAAAATGGTGATTTTCCCATCCGTTTTTTGCTGGTTTGCCAGAGGGTAAGCCATTCCAAGCCAGTCTTCCATTTTCCCATGGTTTTCCCATAAAACCACCATTTTCCATATGGTATCCCACTGGTAATGACTAACATAGCTATTGAAAATTGCAATTTTCCTATTGAAAAGGGGTATTTTCCCATCCGTTTTTTGCTGGTTTGCCAGGGGGTAAGCCATTCCAAGCCAGTCCACCAGTTTCCTATGGTTTTCCCATAAAACCACCATTTTCCATATGGTATCCCACTGGTAATGACTAACATAGCTATTGAACATGGCAGTTTTTCCCATCCGTTTTTTGTTGGTTTACCAGAGGGTAAGCCCATGCCAAGCCAGTCCACCATTTTCCTATGGTTTTCCC